CATAAGGTCCCAAAGTAAATTACTCAACTCTTAGTCCAAAACTGATGTTCAGAACACCGCTATCTATAGAACAATCTACAAACATCTGCTGACCATCAGTACATGTCAGCTGACCACTAAACTTTGTTCCTCTTCTGTAAATTTTGCCTGTTAACTTCTCCTGCAACCCCCTATAAAAAGAGCCTCAGATCCTGGGCTAGTCACCTCTCTAAGCTACTTTGCTTTGAGAGTGTCATCTGGCCAGGCTAAGGTCTGTTTTACTTTCCAACTTGTCCGGTGTGTTCCTTCTCAGGTGTTCTTCACTGCAGTCAGCTCCTCAGAGAGTTTGGTAAGGCCCTCGGTCTTACATTTTGGAGGCACCGTTGGGATCCCTGGGTGTGCTTCACTGCAGTCAGCTCCTCAGAGCATTTGGTAGGCCCTTGGTCTTACATTTTGGAGGCCCCAGTAAGATCCCTGGGTAAGGAACCCCAGTTGAGCCAAGACTCTGTGGTGGGATCCAGCAGGAGACTCTCAGTCACAGACCTCAGAAAACCTCTGGAGGTAAGTTTTTGGCCAGTTGCAACCATTTGTTTTCAGGAGTGAGGTGGCTGATTGGCAGGTAAGCCTCCCCTGACCCCAAGGTTTCTGACGAAGAACAAGGGAAGATTTAGTTTTACTTTTCTTGTGGTGCCTGTTCATCTTGTCATTCGTACATTAGTGTCCTGTCCGTTGTGTGTTTAATTTTGTATTTCTTTCCAAACCATCAAGGGCAGAGATGGGAGGATCCTGCTCCAAAAATACCCCATTGGATTGTTTTCTCACTAATTTTAAATTGGCTTTTTCCCCCAAAGAGGAGGACGAATATGGGGTTAAATTTTCTCATGGAAAACTTCCCTTCCTGTGTCAATTGGAATGGCCAGCCTTTGGAGTTGGATGGCTAGCTGAGGGTGCTTTTGACCCAAGCCTCTGCTGGGCAGTATGGAAAAGGGTCACCGGGCACCCTAGCTGTCCTGATCAGTTTCCATATATAAATATCTGGGTTCAGGCTTGTCAAGAGCCTCCAGCTTGGTTGCAGCATTGTTCCTTGGGAATAAACTCTCACATTTTGGTTATGGCTCCAAGAGAACCCTGAGAGGTCAAAGCCCAGGCTCCCAAGACAGTGCTCTCACAAGATCTTGATCCCTTAGACCTCTCTATAAGAACTCCACCCTAGGTGGAGCCATCCTCCTCTTCTGATAAAACCGACCCCAGATCTCAAAACCCTTTCTACCCTCCTCTTCCCAAAGAAGAAAAATCTCCAGATTCTATAACCTCCCCCTCCCACACAGGAACATGGGCCACTTATGGTCCCAGCGGGGCTCCCACTGAAGGGACTAGTTCAGTTCCTCTTCTGCCTCTTAGGAAAATAGAACAGGGTCATTATGTCTATATTCCTTTCTCTACCAGTGATTTGTACAATTGGAAACATCAAATTGCCCCTTTTTCAGAAAAACCCCAGGCTTTGATCTCCCTCCTAGAATCTGTTTTTCATACCCATGACCCAACCTGGGATGATTGTTAACAACTTCTCCAAGCCCTTTTTACCTCCAAGGAAAGAGAAAGGATCCTAGGGCAAGCCATAAAGTCAGTGTTAGGAGGAACAGAGGGCCCACTCCATGAACAACAACGGGCCTGTATTGAGGCACAACTTCCGTCCACCCATCCCCCATGGCAAGCTAATTCCTAGGGCAGGAGAGAAGCTCTCCAAAACTACCATCAGCATCTCCTAGCCGGCTTGAGGGGAGCCGCTCAAAAGCCTACCAATTTAAGCAAAGCAAGCGAGGTCCTTCATGGACCTGAGGAATCCCCTTCTGCCTTTCTGGAGCGTCTGTTGGAAGCATACCGTACATGTACACCAATTGACCCAGATGCCCCTGCAAACTGACAGGCAATTAATTTGGCTTTTGTCACTCAGTTGGCCCCAGATATTAGGAAGAAATTGCAGCAGATGGAGGGATTTGAGGGAGAAAATAGGGAAAAATTGATGAGTGTGACAATGAAGGTGTTTAATAACAGGGATCCTTTTGATGACAGAATGGCTAAAAAGATAGAAAAAGCAAATATTGCAGCCTTAGCAGATGGAGGTTTCATCCAAAAGGAACACAGAGAAAATAAAAAAGAGGATAAAAGAAAAGTACGGCACTTGTTAGAGAAGGATCAATGCACATATTGCAAAGAGAAGGGCCATTATAAAAGGGATTGTGAGAAGTTGAAAAGAAAGAGAGAGAAAGAGGCTAAGAAAGAAAAATATGGGGTTCTTCTAATAGATAAAGAAGATTGACAAGGCCAGGGTGGGGATCTCCAAACACATCCACCAACTCCAGGCAGCCAGGATCTTGATCCCTTGCCAGTCAGCCTGGAATACAACCCTGCTTCCCGTGAAAAAGCCTGGCACCTCAGACTTCAGGCTGGTACAGGATTTGTGGGAGGTAAACAGCTGGGTGGAGATGGTCCACCCAATGGTACCAAACCCCTATACTCTGTTGAGTCTCATCCCTCCTGCTCATGTGTGGTACTCGGTATTAGACCTCAAAGATGCGTTTTTCAGGCTGCCTCTAGCACCAGTTAGCCACTCCCTCTTTGCCTTCAAATGGACTGACCCAGACACCAGGACTACCAGACAGCTGACATGGACCCGGCTGCTGCAGGGATTCAAAAACTCCCCCACTCTGTTCCAGGGAAGCTCTCAGCAAAGATTTACACAAGGTAAGAAAAGTGTTTCCCCAGGCGACTATTCTTCAGTATGTTGATGACCTCCTGGTGGCAACTTCAACTGATAAAGAAGGCATTTCAGCCACCAAGGGCCTCCTGAAAGCCCTCCAGGACCTGGGATATTGGGTGTCTTGGAAGAAAGCTCAGCTCTGCTGGACAAAGGTAACTACTTGGGCTATATTCATGAAAAGGGAAATAGGAGGTGGGTAGAATCGAGGGTATCTGCAATTCTCCAGATTCTAGAGCCGAGCTCAAAGAAACAGGTGTGAGAAATCCTAGGGGTTGGTGGCTATTGCAGAATTTGGATTCCTGGCTTTTCTGAGATTGCCAAACCCCTGCATGAAGTCACTGCAGGAGGAAATATGCCCCTTAAATGGACCGAGGCTTGCCAGCAGGCATTTCAATTTCTTAAGACTGTGCTTACATCGGCACCAGCCCTGGCATTGCCAGACTTAAACAAGTCCTTCACCCTGTATGTAGCAGAGAAAAATGGGGTAGCCAAGGGAGTGATTACTCAGCTTTTGGGGCCATGGAAGTGACCCGTGGCATATCTCTCAAAGAAGCTCGAGCCAGTGGCCCTAGGGTGGCCTACTTGTCTGAGAGCAGTAGCAGCAGCAGCTGCTTTAACTGGAGAGGCTGACAAATTGACCTTGGGACAGTATTTGACTTTGATCACTCCCCATGCCATTGAGCCCTTGTTGAATAGCGCAACTAGCAAACAGCTGTCTAATGCCAGACTGTTACAATATCAAGGACTCTTGTTAGAACAGCCATGCATTAAGTTTGCCACCACCACTAGCCTCAATCCGGCTACTCTACTCCTGGAATCTGATGAACAAATACCCATCCATGATTCCCTCGAGGCTCTTGAAAACTTGAGGGGAGGACATCCAGACTTGATGGACCAGGCCCTCCCTCATGCAGAGATAACATTCTATATTGATGGGTGCAGTTTCTTTCATGATGGTGTATGGTATGCTGAAGCAGCGGTAGTCAACCAAGCCCAACAGGTGGAATGGGAGCATTGGCTGCCTCAAGGGACATCAGCTCAGAAGGCTGAGCTGATTGCTTTGACTAAGGCTCTGGAATTGGGAAAAGGAAAAAGGATAAATATATTCACTGATAGCCATTATGCTTTTGCCACCGCCCATGTACATGGGGAGATTTATCAAAATAGAGGACTGTTGACCTCCGAAGGAAAGGAAATCAAAAATAACACTGAGATATTGGCATTGCTACAAGCAATCTGGTTGCCTCGAGAGGTCGCCATCATCCATTGCCATGGGCACTAGAAGGGGCTTAGCCCCGAGGTGATTGGTAATAATGCTGCTGACCAGGCAGCAAAACAAGCCACCAAAAAAATCAGTGGGGAAGTAAATGGTTCTGCTTCCCACATCGGTACTCCCACAAAAACCTGAATACACAGATAAAGAATTAGCAGAAATGAACAGAAGATGCTGGACTTGAAGAAAACATGGATGGTTTATGAGTAAGGATAGAAAGGTGGTGCTCCCAGCTGCTGTAGCAGATGTGTTGCTGCGAGAACTACATGAGTCCACCCACCTCAGTGGGAAAAGGATGATGGCTGCCCTATGACCTCATTTTGTCAGCGAGGGATTAGCCCAAAAGGTCCAGGACATGGTGACATGATGCCCCACCTGCCTCAAGGTAAATGCAACTGCCCCCCCTCCCCAGGGTCCAACACAGAGGATTAACTCCAGGAGAACTTTGGGAATTGGACTTTACTGAAATGAAGCCTGACATGTATGGGTACAAATACCTGCTAGTTTTTGTGGATACATTTTCAAGATGGATAGAAACATATCCCACTAAGAGGGAGACAGCTAAAGTAACAGTTAAAAGGCTCCTGACAGAAATAGTTCCCTGTTTTGGTTTGCCCTTAGCTCTGGGGTCTGACAATGGTCCAGCCTTCATGGCCAAGATATCTAAATTAATTAGTAATATCCTTGGAATAAAGTGGAATCTACACTGTGCCTATAGGCCTCAAAGTTCAGGACAGGTAGAAAGAACAAATCGAACTTTGAAGGAGATTCTGACTAAATTATGCTTGGAGACTGAACTAGGTTGGGTAGAGCTTCTCTCTTTTGCCCTCCTCTGAACGAGGTGCACTCCCAAGCCTCCCCTCAATCTGTCCCCCTTCCAGATTGTTTATGGGTAATCTCCCCCAATCATTCCGGTAATAGATGTAGAATTAAAGGAAAAGTTCTCTGACCTTCCACTCCTTAAATCCTTAAAAGCAGTTCATCAGCTTCAGTCAGAGCTACATGAGACATTACGAAAGGAAATGACTAGCCCCAATGAAAAACCTTTACAACCTTGACCCTATAAGCCGGGAGATTTGGTTTTTATTCACAGGTTTGATTCCAAGACCCTGGAACCTCATTGGAAGGGACTGGTTCCTGTTGTCCTGTCAACTCCCTTGGTGGTGAAGGTGGCTGGACATTCTGCCTGGATACATCGCAACCATCTGAAAACAGGATACCCCCACAGATGTCAAAAAGGACAAATGGAAGGTTATCAGCCAACCAGGCAACCAAAGGCTAAGATTGGAGTGGGTTGGAGATGTTTCGTCTTCAGGATAATATTCTCTGGGACACTGACAGTGTTGCCCCCAAGAGGACTAGATCACACAGAAAATGTATGGATTCATTTGGCAAACTCGCTTAATTTGTCTGAATTCTGTCTAAATGTTGATGTAAATTTCCATCATGTATTGGGGACATGCCTCACGTCGTAAACCTAAAAATGCTGTCAAATTATATACACCTAGGGTAATTATGTCAAATAATACCCAATGTACTATGTACAAAAATTGTACAACCAAAAGTCTGAGGATAAAACAGTCAGGAGGAATGCCCTGCCATATAAAACAAAAAATTGTGTATAACAATTGCCATCTCTCCCTGCCAATAGGATGGTTTTATACCTGTGAATGAATAACTTTCAATTATATCCCAGCCAATTTAACCAAGACCCATTGCTGCATGGGTCGTCTAGCTGTGGTTCTACCAGATAGAGCTGATTTGATTATTCCAAACAGAACTAAATGTTGGTCACCCTATACTGCACCAGGGTGTGATGATGATGTAGGTCTGTTGACAGATGCTGAAGTAATAACTATGATAGCATCTTTTGTTGCCTTGCCTTCTATAGGAGTCCATGCTGAAAAGGCAGTAAGGAAATTAGCATGCAAGGTGGTCAAAGTGTTAAATGCTACCTCATCAGCCTTGGCATTAATTAACCAAGAGTTACAAGAACAGAGACAGGCAATCTTAGATAATAGGGCAGCGATAGACTATTTGTTACTCTTCCACCACCAAGGATTTGAGAAAATAAGAAATATGTGTTGTTTCAATCTTACTGACAATAGTCAAAAAATCAAAGAAAAGGTAAAACAATTGGAAGACCTGGCTCAAAGGGTACATAATGAAGATGGCTGGGACTTATTCCAATGGCTAACTAAATGGTTGCCCCACCTACAATGGTTAAAACAACTTTTTCTCCTCATTATAGTTGTGTGTATATGCTTACCATTGTCATCCTGTTGTATACAATGGATGCCTACATTTATATGTAAGATTACTTAAGTTGTATAATCAGTGGGGAATGTGGGATTGCATAACTCTGTAATCATAAAACTCCCCTAGCCCCAACTGTGACTAAATGTGAGCAAATAGATAAAGATGCTTGTTAGTTCTAAGACACTAGATAAGATCTGTATCAGCCATAAGGTCCCAAAGTAAATTACTCAACTCTT